AAAAAAATAAAATTAATCATCACTGAGAATTTATTCGATGTTAAATTTTTGTACTCGATTATTTCCATCATCAACGACATAGAGATTGCCATGTCGATCGAATGATAAGCCGATAGGACCACAGAGTTGGTTCGACTGCACTCCTTCACCGTTTCCACCAGCAATGACACTTCCTTGTGTGGCTCCTTTTGGCCAACGTAGGATTCGATGATTGTCACAATCAGCTATATAGACAGTACCCAATTGATCGACAACGACTCCTTCAGGATATGACAATTGTGTAAGACTATTTCCTTGTCCTTGACCACCAGCTACGACAATGCCTTGTTCTGCACCTTCTTTCCATTTCACCACACGATGATTCCAATAATCAGACACATATATTGAATGATCTCTATCGACAAATACGTAACGGGGTTCAGAGAGTTGATCGAGACGATTTCCTTTTCCATTACCACCTGCAACCACTGTTCCTTGAGTGTCACCAATTTTATATCGTCTCACTTCATGTTTTTCAGTGTCAGCGACATAGAGAGATCCATTCTCATCCATTGTCAAACCACAACAATAGATATTGGAGATGATTGTTTCGCCATTTATCCCATTTCGACGAGACCACCGAACCACTCTTCTATTCAAACTATTGGAGATGATGAGACTATCTCTCTCTTTGTCAACAATCACATCTGATGGGTAAGACAATTGATGAGCCCCAGTGCCTTCTCCATTTCCACCGGCAACCACTTGACCATTCGTTGCACCACATTTCCATTCCACAATACGATGATTAAGCCAATCAGCGACATAAATCGTTTGATCATCATCAACATATAAACCGTAGGGGTAATAGAGTTGATTGTTTCCACTGCCTCGTTCATTTCCTCCAGCCACATTGATAGCATTCTGTTTCCATTTTGCATTCGGATGAATATCAACCGAACTCGCACGTAGTGGTGCTGAAATGAAACAAAAGTATAAAGTAGAAATAAACATCGATTTCATTGGAATGAGTCCTTCATTCGTTTTGAACTGTATTGAACTGCTCTGAATTACAAAAAAATTAATATTTTCATATTTCAAAAACTTACACTTTAGACTTGATGAGAATCTAATTTTCTCAATGTTGAAAACAAAAATTGTTGATTTTCAAATATTTTATTCTATGCAACGTTATTTAAGTGAATTTTTCTGATTTATTATCAATCATATCTAAGCTAAATCATTCTTTTGTTTTTTTTCTCTTAGAATATTCATCAGAATAATGAAAATTCTCATTTTGAATTCTGGTTACTAAAGTACTTAAGAGTCTGTTTCATGAGTAAATAGTACACCTATATTCACCCACATCGTCTAACTGAACAGTTACGAAAATAACGAGATCCATAAGAACTCTACATGGAAGAACTCGACGAATATTCCGTGAGAATGTCTAAAATTTGAAACAATTTCTGTTAATCGAAATCTTCATTATAACTGCGAGGATTATGTTCCGAGATTGCAAAAAAAATCATCATGTCGAATCATCGTCGAGCGGTGACAATTGTTACAAGGATCCGCTGTTGGTCTTCGCATGACGTTTCTCGAGCTTTCCATCTGATTTAGGGAAAACTTTTGTTTATGTCAAAACTGCAGGATTTTAGCAGTGTTCGCTTTCGATTCCACTGAGAATTTTCAAAGAAATAGCAGGAAAAGTGATGATTCTGCTATGAGAATCAAATCGAGAATTGTTACTTAGATCAGAGGAGAATGTTAATACGAGTAAAGGAAATTTTCTAAACAAATCAATTCTGTCAAATTTCGATTACGAGTCGATTTCAAACTTCTCTAACATTCAGTACTTTCGCTTCTTTACATGACAATACGAACTCACAAATAAAAATCTTCATTGAAAATTAAATGCAAGGATCTGCTATTTGAGATGTTTGGAAATTTTTGTTTTGTAGGTAATTCAAAAAATGGTCACCATGGGGTAGTGGTTACGTTATTCAACATGTATTCACAAGATACTGTGTTCGAACCTCAGTATCATCAGTCATGGAATGATTCTAGACAAGTCATTAACGGCTATTTGTCTCTTATCATCCGTCCGATAGCATGCTGACTACGTTGTGACATAGACCCACTCTTGTGGCTAGTATGTGGTTAGTTCGTGTGTATGGGAAGCTGAAGTAAATGAGCGGAAGAATTCTGTGTCAGGCTGGCCTTCTGTCCAAAGATACAGCTAGTCATATTTGTAGAAAAAATATCGGGCTATTGACTCTGCCGCTAGACGACACTCCATACTGCAAGGTAATCGAAAGGCAGAAGTATCTTCTTCTTCTTCTTCTTTTTGTATTCAATAAAGGTAAATTTTGAGAATTCTCATAATAAAACTGATTGTAAAGATTTCATTATGATTGTTCCTGGTTTTTATTCAAGTTTCTAATAAAAATTTGTTAATCTTTGGTTCATAACATGAATCTTAACAGCAATAAATAGGAGATTCGTATTGGATTCATTAAGAATCTAGTGTGGAAACAATTGAAGGAAGCAACACGTGAATAACCAATTTCAAATAACAATGATGTATGTATCTACGTAGTTCTTGAAAGAAAGAAACCAAAACGAAGAAAAAAAATCTAACTGGATTATATGATATGTTAAAACAAAAAAAAAAGCATATCACAATAGAGAACAATCTTGTGAACACGCAGCGGTTCTTGAGAATAGTACACTCAATCCTCTCAACTATCTAGAATAATGGGAGGTTTCCATTATAGTTATCGGTTAAAAAAGCCGTGGAAAGAATAAATATTAACCATTGGCTAACAATTTTTCAAAAATACATAAATAAGTGATGTTTTTCTGCGAGATATTGTAGAAGAACGACTATAAAATCATAGTTCATATAAGAACTTTGTGATCCTTAGTTTGAATAACATGTTACGAAGTGTTTATTTCTAAAAAACTTTGTGTTTTAGACAATCATCACGAGCATGGCCACCTTTAATGGCAAATATATTTTTGAGGAGTGTTGTGACTGATATTTAACTACAACTTTGTTTTTAGTATGAAATTATATGAGATAGTCAAATTTCTAAACAGTTCGCAAAAGTTTTCACACGAAACGTAATACAAGTTGCATGAGCTCAACTTCGTTTTTGAAGGTTTAAATCTTACTTCGGGAAAATTTTGATTCATTGTGGTTTTTCAAAGTATGATTTGGATCAATAGCTGCTAGTGTAAATGTTTTCGACGTTAAAAGTATTGAGAAATCTTTTTTGACGAGATTCATATGGAGATATTTTTCTTCTTCGAGAAAAAGAAAGATAAAATCGGTGTGTCTCATCTTTTTTAAACTAATTATGTTTTCTTTAAATGATAATATCAATTGAATTATATTCTGTAGACAGAGTAAACACTGAATTATATCATTATTTTTTTCATCTCACTCATCCTCATCGACATCAACAATCACCAACCTCATTTCCATTCATATCTTCCTTCCTCAGAAACAAAACTTCTTATCGATTGCTTAACAACCAGTTGAAAAGAGTATATTCACTTCTCGATACCTCTACATGAAATCGATTCAACAGGCAGTGATAATAGCTCTAGAAAATTACGATACTCTTTATTAAAATATCTGGAAAATACGTTGGTTTATTGGTGCCAGTCAAAATTTTTCAGTTAAAACTGAGAGATTTGAAGTTGTGTCTTCTGACTAACACTTTCGCCTTAATCATCAATGTATGGAGAAGTATGTGACTCATATTACTCTTCATCTACTTTAATTTGTTAACATATGTTATTCTATTAATTGACGATAAAAGAAAATCGATTTTTAATAATCTTACTTCGTGTTCTAGTTTTCGTGACCATGTGTTTTTTTGGTGGTGATGGTACTACTGCTGCTGCTACTGCTGAAACTTCCGGAATAGTTGCCTAGAAAAAATGTATGACTATGTGTATCCATAAATATGTAATAGATGTATGTTCTTACTGTCGGTACAAGTTCAATCAGAGGAAATGGTGGTTGAATTTCTTTGAGTTGTATCATATAAAAATCTGTACCTTGAGTAAGACATGATTCAACCTTAAATTGTCTGGCGGCTGGTAGAAGAATTTCATCTTCAGCTTTAAAATAAGAATATTTTTTGATATCTTTGCCACTATGACATTGAATCGTAAAGAAAGTTCTTGAACCTTTCGTACCCAGAAATTGTTCATTCTCGAGTACTTTCATCTTGGACGTACAAGAACTGAATCCCCACCAAACGAATGTCTTTCCTTCTGGATATTCTTTTCTCATGTCCCGTTTAATTCCACGAAAAACAAACGAAAAAATTGATGGAAGCTGAGCCAATGCAGTAAGAATCAACCTGAGATAAAGAAACCAAGGCTTTAGATTTTGTCGATTTTCGTTTCGTAGAGTCTGATTTAAAACATAATAAAGACATTTTTGTTGAGGCTCCCATTCCATTGTATACAACATGATTGAAGCTGCTTGATCGATTGGTAGTTTTTCTGATGAAAGCTCAGTACATTTCGTTTTTGCAATGTAAACCATTCGTTGCACGTCAGGCACATATGAAATGATAGGCTCCACAGCCTCTTCAAGTGTAACAAGAGGTTTATTCTCAAATCCTTGAATTGGCATCAACATTTGGCAAGGCTCTCCAGCGATATCTGAAAAACGTTGCGTTTGTCTTTGTTCGTCATTCATATCGACGAAATTCGCAGCCATGTTTAAATTACCAATAAAAATTTTGAACGAGCGTATTGACCAAATTTCTCGATTGAAAATTAAAATTCTGAAACAAACAAAAAAGGTAGATTTTCTTAAAAGTTTAGCAGGTTTTCATTTAAACTATCAATAGTAGGGTCATGTTAAACAAATAGAAATCTACTGGAATAAAGTTTAGAGAAATTCGAAGTTATTCTCATAAGATTTAGCAAATGTTTGGACATAGTCCTAGGAAATTATCATCTTTTTGTACATTTACGAAGACTCAGCTTAGAAGTTGGATGGTATCAGTGGAAACGATTTTTCTCTTTCTTCATCATGCTTTCAAGAAATTAAACCAAACTTGTGGATTGGTTAGAAAAGTATCTCAATATATACTTATGTTTTTAATCATGAATCAATATTGTATTTCAGATGAAGTGCTAGTCACATTCAGTAGAATATCGATCAGAATCTTTGATATTGCTCCGCAACTGTCACTATGGAACTAACACCCGTCTTTGCTGATTCATGTGTGTGGATGTGGATCTAATATAATAGAATTTTTGACAGCTTAAACATCTGCAATAATAATTAAACTCTTTTCTTAAGACAAAAAAATTACACAGTTTAATCTTAAACTTTGAAATCTAGTCATTAAAAATATTATTAGATATGGTAATAGCCGTATTTAGTACTTTTCAAAATTAAGTTCAAAAGTCACTGCATCCGCGAAAAATAGAAATAACCTATGACATTCCATCATTGCCATATAATATCTTGTCCACGATAATCCTAGTATCACAAGAAAACAAGACAGATAAAGAAATAAAATTGAGACATAAAATGCCTGTTGCACTTGTCATAATCAGTTGAAAACACAAGTTGTTCTCAATACTAAAGAATAAGAAGAAGAAAGCAATACTTGTAAACGTGAATAGTAATTTTTCTGACGCTTTTGGGTAGATGAATAGCAGAATCTAAGAAGTAATACTACAAAGTTTAAAGACAATAAGATTTAAGCGTGTAAAAAAGACGAAAAAAAACATCGTATTTCTGCTATAAACGGAAAAAATAGCAATTCTGTAGATGATATACTGGTTATTTAGTATAGGAATAAAAAGAATCACGTATTCTATCTACGAATATCGAACAGAAGAAAGCTGTACTCTCACAAGATTAAAGAAACAATTCGCTGTGATGGGTATCTTTACATTTTTCTTAAATATAATCGTCCTAAAATTATTCAACATATTTCCAAACACTTTTCAATCTGTAATATCGCCATCATGAACCTATATTTCAGACCTAAAAAACAATTTTGATACTTCTCATCTTCTCATTATATCTTATAAAAGATATATTAATATGTACGTAATCAATTAAACTACTCAGACAACTCAATAAATTCACAGAAATTATATGACCAAGGAAGCAAATGAGGTTTAGACATTTTTTTAGTATTATTTATTTTTTCAATACATTTGAAATTATTTCATTTAGCTTCCTATACTTATTATGGGAATGTATACAAAACTCGACACTATTTTATAACAATCACTGACAATACATTATACTCTTCGTTTGTATAATCAAAAGATACCTATTCACTAAAGGACGACAGAATTTCTTGTTCGACTAAATATTCATTCATTTAATAAGTGCAACACGTCAAACTCTTACGATATCGACGCCACTCGGTACCACACTAGATCCGATTGCCATGTAAGTATACTCACAGACTATGGCATTATCTTCTACAATTTCTCTAAATCCTACATCTCTGTATTTTCTATGTTTTAGATTAACTATCTAATGACTTGAACGAATTTTCGAGAACATCAATGGAAAACGTGTCAAGTCCCAAGTCGTTCATGTATCTGTCTTTCGCAATGCAGTCTAGCGTCAAACTTCTTGCACGATATTTTCGCACGTGAAATCGCCACCTGCGAGATGCTACTGCACTGATATTATAATTGTTTTATTGTTTTTCGAAACTAAGAGTTACATTGGAAGTATACAAACAGAATGTGGACTAGAGAGGAAACACATACACAACAGAAACAAGATCTGTTTGACTCTTACAGGTTCTTGTAGGTCGGATTATATTTTAGCAGAGCTACTATATTTAATAAAATAAGATATTTCTTAACAGGTCTCACAGATAATATTTTTCCATGAAAAAATATAAAAACTTTGCTGCCTCAGAAACTTCACATCATTGAATCTGATATATTCCGTAGTCTTCGCCGTATGACACAAAATAATACTGCCCCTCGTTGATACCTTATAGTACAGTGCAAAGATTTTCAGACTCCTATTTTTTTCATCGTTGAGTGATTCGAAACATTTTAAGATGGCCTTGAGACAGTTCTGGAACGAGCTAAGCTTTCGTTACACTATTTTGATAGCTCAATATTTGTCTCTTAGGTAACTCAACATGAAGTTATAGTATTGACAAAAAAAGGAAGTAAACTAAATATGTAATATTAAGAAACCATCCATAATTGAGGTTAATTTAAATAATAAATAAAGGTGAGAGGAAGATAGCAAAGTGAATCGAGGAGATTAAAAACAATATTTATAAATCGATTATCAAGATCAATTGCATATCTATGTAAATCGTGTCTTATTGTACAAATTAGATTGGCACTATGCATGTACTATCTAATAAGCTTGTTTCTATTTTTATTATTGTTCAGATAAGTTACATACTACAATAAAATCAATAAAAGCCAATAATATTGGAATAATTTGATGCAGACTTGTTGTTGATTTGGCTTGTGAATGTTTATGTAATACCGTTTATTTGTTTTTGCAAATGATTCTTTTTTACGTTTACAGTAAGGCACCTTTATACGTTTCTTTCTCTTCATTCATGTGCTTAACTTCTCTCTTTTTTTAATTTTTTTGCTATACATTCTATCACGAACGTAGTTACACAAGATGCATACGTTGTGCATGAAACGATTTGCTTGAGTGATTTGTGCACACAGTGAATATTGCATACGAAATCACATTGAAATATATTCGTATTTGAAAAAATATCAAGAAGCAAAAGGTAGTAGAAAAAAATCAAATTACTTTTTCTTTTGACGAAAGTAATATATTACGTATATTCATGTATACATAAATAAAAAGCTTTAAAGCGAAAAATTTTGATTGATATATCTTCATACATAGTTGATATCGAGTCAATATCATTACCCATATTCCTGTTTATATGTGTTGAACATTGTATTTTTGAAAAAAAAAATAATTGAATGATATCAGCGAATCTAAGGGATTGAATGCTTAATAACAGCAGTACATAAATTAATTTGTATGATAAAAACAGATCACAGAATTTAGTACACTATACTTTATTACAGTTTGTGGGGGTGCTGATGTAGATGTCAGATGATGAATGTGGGCGTGAGTGCGAATGAAGAGAAGACTGATATCCACACACCTTTCAATATTAGTATAATATAACTAAATTCAACATAAAATCAACAATTTATTTTTGTTGAGAAGAACCAAAACTAACTAGACAGTCAATTCATTAATAGAAGTTGTATTGATGGCCGATGGGTAGTAATTTTAGTAGAATCATTTTTGATTTTATTTCGTTTCTCTATTTTCTTAACTCCATGTATTAACTTATAATATCTTATTTGGAAATCTATCGGGGTTCATATTAGTTTTTTAACTTAAAATCAATACAAATTAGATATTTTCTAAATCTTACAATTATATTGATGAATGACAATCATGTAGTAAGTAATGTTGTGCCTTTTTATATCTTTACGATTTATTCTCAATGTATTTATTCATCGACAACTCATTATTCATATGAATTTTTATTCGATTATAATTACAAAATGAAGCTGTTAATGGTTATTTGTTCTTTTCGTGAATTTAAGGAGCAGAACTTTTATCTAGATGACATATATATTTTAGTCAGATTCCATGAATTGAGTTTTTTAATATTCTGATGTATTATATTGGGATGTTTTAATAAACAATATTTAAATGTTCAATTATAATGAAATAATAAGAAACCTTTTAACATTTGATAAATTTTATATGTAAATCAAAAATATTCAACTTTGTTATATTTAATGTGATGTAGAAATAAAGACTTAAAAGTGTATAGATAAATATTAATCAATAAAAGTCATTTTATACTTTAAGTAATTTAGTTAGTTGGTTGTATTGTTTCTATAGTGTTGTTATTTTATTAAAGGTCAACCAATTATGTCATACCCATTTATATCAACCGTACAAACAATGACAAATGTAAAAACAATTTAGAATTACATGTAATTTTCAACATGAACAAAAGATTTAGTGAAAACTCTATGAAAAAAAATTGAATAATGATTATTAAAATCTTTCATATCACTATGATAATAAAACTGTTGTCTCTTTCCTTATTCTTTTATTTTATATATCGCTTGCTTGTATGTGAAAATGAATAAATTTCAGTCTCATAAGGAACATATAATATAAATAGAATGTTCGTATAGAGTTTTAGT